CTAAAATAAAACTAAAAAGGAAAGTAAAAGAGAAAAGGCAATGATGTAAAATTAAAATAAACCTTAATTCTGGAGATGAAAACATATAGAGCAGAATTTTTTCATTGTAATGAAGTCTAGCTTATCATTTTTTTTCTTTTGTGAATTGTGTTGCAACTAAAAAGTCATCACCATGTCAAAAATCATCTGGGTTTTTTCCTGCACTGTCTTCTAGGAGTTTAGCTTTGCATTTTACACATAGGCTGTGGCCCAACCTATGTTGGGTAAAGGTGTAAGGTCTGTCTAGATTCTCTTCCTTATTTTTGCATGTGGCTGTCCAGCAGTTGCAGCACTGTTTATTGTTTTGCTCCATAAGATTTCTTTTGCTCCTTTGTGAACAATAGCTGACTACATTTATGTGAGTATATTTTGGGCTCTCTGTTTTGTTCCACAGTGTATCTGTCTGTTCTTCAGTCAGCACCATGCTTCCTTGAATGCTGTGGCTTCATACTAAGTCTTGACATCAGGCAGTGTCATCCCTCCAGCTGTCATCCTTCATAGGATGTTGACTTTTCTGGTTTTATGGTCTCTCCAGACAACCTATGTTGTCAGTTTGCTGGTATCCACAAGTTCACTTACTGGGATTTGATTGAGATTGCACTGAATTTGTAGGTGAAGTTGTGTAGAACTGATGTCTCGACAGTCTTGACTCTTCTTAACAACAAACATGGAATACCTCTCTACTTACCTAGTTCTCCTTTGATTTTGTTCAACAGAGTTGTAGTTTTCCTCTTACAGATCTTGCACATACTTTTTAAAATTTGCTCCTATGTATTTTATTTGAAGGGAATGTTAAAATGTAAATGATAGTACCCCCCCAAAAAAAAGCAGGGTTGGGGATTTAGCTCAGTGGTGCTGTGGTTTGCCTTGTAAACGCAAAGTCCTGAGTTTGATCCCTGGTACCAAAAAAAAAAAAAAAAAATTAAATTTCAGAATTTCAGATTACACTTGTTCATTGTCAGTATATTGGAAAGCAATTGACTTTTATATATTAATCTTGTCCTGTAAATTTGCTGTAATCATTTACTAGTTCCAGGAGATTTTTTTTCTTTTTTCTTGTTTTTTTTGGGGGGGTGGGGCACTGGGAATCAGGGAGGTGTTTTTGTTTTGTTTTATTTTTTGTTTTGACAATTCTTTTTTATTTTCCACACATACAACCATATCACCTGGGAACAAAGTTTTATTTCTTCCTTCTCAATTACTATTACCATAACTTCAGTTCCCTCTTTCTTTCTTTCTTTTTTTTTTGGTACCAGGGATCAAACTCAGGACTTTGCGTTTGTGAAGCAGGAGCAGTACCACTGATCTAAATCCCTGGCCCACCCTTTTTTTGTCCTATTGCATTGGTGAGGGCCTCCAGTATGTTGAAAAGGATCAGTGAGAAGGGTTATCTCTGTTAGTTCTGATCTTGTTGAGAAAACTGCGTTTCTCATCAATGAGTGTGATGTTAATTTTAGATTTCTTTTGTTGCTGTTTATCAAGTTGAGGGAGTTCACCATTATATTTAGTTTGCTGAGAGTTTTATTATAAATGGATTCTGGATATTGCTAGATGCTTTTTCTGCATCTATTTACATGATCATTTTTTAACTTTTTGATTTAACGGATTATATTGATTTTTGAATGTTGAACCAGACTTGCCTACCTGGGATAAAGTGTAATTTGTCATGGTGTATAATTCTTTTTATGCATTGTTGGGTTCTATTTGGTACAGTTTTTTTTTAAATAAGGTTTGCATCTATATTCATGAAACATATTGGTCTATGCTCTGTCTGGTTTTGGCATCAGGGTAGTGCTGGCCTCTTTGAATGAGTTAAGAAGTGTTTCCTCTGCTTCCATCCTCTATTGGAGATTGTAGGACATTGGATAATCTCTTCCTAAACATTTGGCAGAAGTCACAATGCCAATGACTTCTAGCCCCAGCTGGGTGGTGCTCTATCCTAGAAGGGTTTTGACTATTGAGTCACTTTTTCCTATAGAGGTAGGTCTGTTCAGACTGTTCATTCTGGTATGAATGCTGGAAGTGTGTATCTTTCAAAAATTTGGTCCAGTTCACCTAGGCTATCAAATTTGTGGGAAGATATTTCGTAGTATTCCTTGGCCATTCTTTTTTATTTTTAAATTAATTTTATGCTATCCCATTCTTGCCTCAAGTCCCCATGTAGAAAAGCTTTGTTTCCATTTTTTCCTTGTATTTTCACTTTTTCTGTCACTTTCTTTCTTTCCCTCTCCCTTCTCCCTTGCTCTCCTTCCTATTTGAACACTTTCTTTCCATTTCCCAATATCCATTATATATTTCAGTCCTTATTTCCACATTCAGTTTCTCACACTAGAGAATCAATGTGATATTTAAACATATGTGTCTGATTTATTTCTCTTAAGAGTATGGTCTCAAGGTCCATTCATTTAGCCATAAATATCTAAAGCTCATTCTTTGTTGTGGCAGAGTAGAATTCCATTGTATAAAAAAAATCCTCATCTTCTTTATCAACTCATCAGTTGATGGACATTTGGGTTATTTCCAAGACTTAGCTATCACAAACTGTGCCGCTTTAAACATGAATGTGCTCATATCGCTGTGGTAGGATGCTTTTAATTCTTTTGGGAAGATACCAAGAAGAGGTATCGCTGGGCCAGAAGAAAGCTCTAGTTTTAGTTCTTTGAGAAATCTCCACACTTATTTCCACAGTGGTTGTACCAGTCTGCACTACCACCAACAGAAGGATTCCTTTTTCCCCATAGTCCCCCAGCATTTGTTATTGTTTGATTTCTTGGTAGCAGCCATTCTTTCTGGAGTGAGATCTCAGTGTTGTTTTAATTTGCATCTGTTGAATAACCAGTGATGTTGAACATTTTTTCATATATTTATTTGCCATTTCTAATTCTTCATCTGAGAAATATCTTTATTTCAGATGCCCATTTTTGTATTAGGTCTTTAAATTTGGGTTTTTTTTTCTTTAGTTCTTTATATATTCTAGATAATAGTCCTTAATATGAATAGCTGGTAAAAATTTCTTCCCACTCTGTGGGTTCTCTCTTCACTCTGTCGGTGGTTTCTCTTGCTGTGCAAAAGCTTTTCAATAATCTGAAGCCCTAGCTGTTGATTCTTTGTAGTATTTCTCATGTGGTCTGGGTTTTGTTCATGAAGTCTTTACCTACTTGTATGTCCTCAAGCATTCTACCTATTCTCTCTTCCAGCAGGTTTAGTGTTTCTGTTTTACTATTTAGATCTTTGATCCATTTCAATTTTAGGTTATATGTGATGAAAGATATAGGTCTTGTTTTGATCTTCGGCATGTGGAAAGCCAGTTTTTCCAGCTCCGTTTCTTTCTTCCAGTGAAGGTGTTTGTATCCTTTGTCAAAGATAAGGTGGTTGAATGTCTGGAGTTGTTTCTGCATCCTCTAGTCTGTTTCACTGATCCTGAGGTCTCTGTTCTTTTGCCAGCACCGTGCTGTTTTTATCACCATAGCTTTGTAGTATAAAGTCAGGGATTGTGATACCCTGTGCTTTGCCTTTGTTGCCCAGAATTGCCTTTGCTATTCTAGGTCTCTTCTGGTTCCAAATGAATTTTAGGGTTGCTTTTTCTAATTCTGTGAGATATGCTGTTGGGGTTTTGATCAGGATTGCATTGAATCTTTATAACAATTTTAGAAGTATGGTCATTTTCATTATATTGGTTCTTCCTGTCTGAGAACAAGGGATAAAAATGATATCCTCTTCAATCTCTTTTTTCAGAGTACTGTAGTTTTGAGGGTAGAGGTCTTTTACTTCCTTCATTAGATTGATTCCTAGGTATTTCCTTTTTTTTAATGCTATTGTGCAAAGGATTATTTTTTTAATTTCTCTCTCCATGAGCTTGGCCATTTTTTTTTTTTTGATGTCTGTAGGATCTGTAAGTGATGTCCTCTCTTTCCTTTCAGATACTAATAATTTGGATCCTCTTTCTTCCATAGGAAGGTTGGCTAGAAACTTATTGGTTTACTTTTTATTTACTTATTTAATTTAATTTTATTTTTTGTTTTTTTGAGGCAGGGTCTCACTATGTAGGTGAAACTGACCTAGAACTCACTATGTAGCCCAGGCTGGTCTCGAACTCACAGCAATCCTCCTGCCTCAGCCTCCCAAGTGCTGGGATTATATGCATGCACCACTATGCCCAGCTGCTTATTGGTTTATTGATATTAAAAATCCCAGCTAGTCTCAGGCACTGGGGTACCTTACTAAACTCTCAGTCTATAATAACATATATAAGTATAGTGGAACATGTTTGTGTCTGAATATTTCAGGGAGAGACACAGGAGACTCTTTGTAGCATAAGTAATTGCTTTTGTGGTATTGTTTACTATGCAGCACTTTGATAGGTGCTAGAGGTAAAAGATCATACTTCTCATTGGTGAGAGATGCACCTGAGAATAGTGGTTTCTTGAGCTCCAGGTATGCACTCTTCTCTTCTTCTGGATATTCTGCTTGTCCTCTTCATATTCTCTGCATCTGAACCTGTCTGCCATAGATTGCAGGGAACTGCCTTGGTTTTGAATATGAGTGTGGCATGGTCAGATATCTTTCCTAGAAGAGCACCTCTGCACTCTGAGAATCAAGAGAGGACACAGTACAGACAATGAGTGCTGCGTGGAGGTTGACCATCCAGATGGAGAGGATGTGGATGAGGCCCACAAGAGGTGCTGGATTCCATGGTCAGGTGGGGTGCATGGGAAGAGTGGGAGTATCTTGGGGAGCGGAGTTGTGGGGAAGGTGGAGCAGGATTACCAGTAAGCAGCAGGTAAAGAACAGATGGAGAATGGGCTGGAGATTCAGTTCAGTGGTGCCTCTGCCTGCCTTGCAAGGTCCTGAGTTTGATCTCTGGTACAAAAAAAAAAAAAAAAAAAAAAAAAAAAAAATCAGATGGAGAAAGCAGAGGATGGGTGGTTCATGGTGAGAAAGGATGGCTGCTCATTTGGCTTTGTTTGTATAGGATGTTTTCTTCCTTAGTATTAAAGAGTTTTCCCCAGTGGGCCATGCTTATCATTTTTTTCTTGGTTTCACTAGTAACTTAACAAAGGTCTTTTGTTTCTTTTCTTTTTGTTTTTTTGTATACTTACAATTCTTTTTGGATGTATTCTCTTTCTAAATGTATGTTTAAGTGACATAGAAAAAGATAAATATGTATATACTAATGAGATGCAAGAGGATGTTCAATATACTTATATGTTGCATAATCTGGTTAAAGACAGATTTTGCTTTCTTCTATCTCTTTGCAGTGTTCAGTATATTTTTGTTATAAGAGTATTTTTTATAAAATTTCAAAGTTAGATTATTTGTATTAATATACTTGAAAATTAGCAACATCAGAGGAATATCGGAAAACATGTGCTTTCCAAAATATTTACAGTATTCTAGTTTACAATTTATTTTTTTCATATTTTGTTTTGTTACCTCTAGGAAATTGAGAAGGAAGACACTGACTTAGCGAATGCTGGAGTTGATGAATACCCAGTCACTTTTGAAGATGATTTTGAAGCAAGTATAAAAGTTAAATTTTTTCATATTAAAAGTATTTATTCTGAAAACTCAACTTATGTAATTTAATTATTCTTTCCCCTCTTTTTAGTACTGTTAATACTGTCTGCTAAGTTTCAGTATACATCTAGCTGTTACCTATTAAAACCTTGTTACACTTCTACTAGTGCTTATCAATGTGACATAATTAATTTTATAATTTAACTCAATTTTGTTGCATTCATATGTATGTGTGTGTAACTATACACATACATACACTTTCACATTTTTCAGTAGGATTGTTTACACATTATTGTTAGTAGCTCATAGTGTCATTTTTTTTTTTTTTTTTTTTTTGTATTGGAGATTGAACTCAGGACCTTGTACTTGAGAGGCAGGTGCAGTGGCACTGAACTAGATCCTTGGCCCTCATAGTATCTTTTATTATATATTTTGTGGCATATTTTTACAGAAGCAAATGTAGCAGTAATTATAAATTTATAATTCAGTAATGTTAAATCCATGAATTAGAACATCTTCCTTAGCCTTAATGAGGACTTTGCCAGGGTTAAGTTATAAATTTAATGTTTCATTCTGTACAAAGGTTACTGTACTCATTTGTCTTGGCGTGTGAAATCTGTTTGTAGGACTATGAGGATGATTTTGAAGTTTGTGATGGAGATGATGATGATAGTAACAGGTCTGATTCAAAAGAAAAAACTGAAGAACTTCCTCTAGCTCGAAAAAGGGAAATACAGGAAATTCAAAAAGCCATTAATGCAGAAAATGAAAGGATTGAGGAGTTGTCTTCACAGCAGTTTCAGAAGCAGGTTTGGCTGGAGAATGACAAGGATCCCCGGGCAGGTACGTGGTTATTGTTGATTACTGGGTCCTGTGCTCTGGTGAATATGTGCTGCAGGTGCATTCAGATAGCTGAAGGCCTTGGATATCACAACAGTGCCATGCCCCATGCCTGTGATGTAGGGAGCCACTCAGGGTGAGAATCCTGTGACTAAGGATCCATTGTGAAAAGAGGTTCAGTGACTTTTCAGTGCAGCAGCAAGGCCTGAGAGTGGCCAACTCCAGAGTACATCGGTGCTCTGTGCCTATGAGCACATGCTCTTGTTATTCCCAGTAGTGCTCACCCTGAGCATCCTCAAAGAGCAGTCACAGTGATGGCAGCAGGCCAGCAGGCCTGGGATCAGCAGGCACGAGGCTCAGGCATGGCCTCTTAGGAAACAGACTTCTCACTGGGCCTTTTCCAGGAATCACTCTTTATGTATTTAGGACTGTGTTTTTCCCCCAAATTCTTAGCATTGAGCCATGATAGGTATTTTAGTCAACAGGGTTTGGCAAGGGAATACATTAAATACAGGACACATAACTTATAAGGTTATTTTATAATTACCCAAAGAGTCAAATGCAAAGGAGTACAAGAGATTAACTGCACACTAGAAGCCCAAAACATTCAACTGAGGGCCTAGATCCCAGCAGTTTCTCAAACAAGTCCAGCTGACAGCTTAGAGTCCAAGGCAATGTCCTCCTTGAGCCCAGCCAGTGGCGTAGAGCCCATGGCAATGTCTCAGGCCTGTTTGCACTGAGGATCTGCACCTGGAAGGCCCAAAGGCCAATGTTGGAAGCCAGAAAATCTGTGCTGGTAAGATGAAGGATCTGTGCCACCAAGCTGAGGGATCCACATTGGAGCCAGGAAGTGATGCTCATGGAAAAGATCAGAGCTCGTCTGATGAAAGCAGCAGCCATTCCCAGTGGCAGTGAGGTCCCGAGCTCCTCCTCCAATGAAAACAGTCCAGTTTGCATTAGGAAAACCATCTGCAGCCAGCTTCTCCTAGAAAATCAACAGGTCAAGATCTTCCTCTCCACTTCTCTTTTTATAGCTATTGGTAACAATCTTCAGGTGGATCCTCCATGCCCAGACTACACTGATTCAGTTCAGTTGGGCTATACAAGTTGCCCGTTAGTCAATCCACCATAATAATTACTTATGAAAGTAGTAGGAAATGTTTTAAAATGACTTAATGATAAACTACTTGCACTAGAAGTAGCACTCAAGGTAAAATAGAGCAGCTGAAATAGTATTTGGTGATATACTACCTTAAATCACCTTGTAATTAGTAATTAATTATAATCAGTAATTAAATGTAAGAATACACTGGAAGAAGGATCATGACTCTCGTATTTTGTGCCTGCTACAGAGGTGGTGAAACTGGTGGCCAGTCAGATATGTAGAGTACTTTTTGAATTCATAAGTAAAAATATCCTGGCAAAGGTAGGAACTGTGATACTTGCATCCCCTCCTTTGACTTCTCTGAAGAGCAGCCGGTGCCCATGTCCTGTGTGCCACCTATAGGCAGTGTCTCTGCATCCACAGTTTGTGGCCCTGGAGTTGCAGGAGTGAGAGTGATTTTATTAATGACCTTTTTTGTTATCCATTTCCTGCGCTAATGCTTAGCATCCTAGCTCCCTTAGCATGACTTATGGGATCAGCACTGACTACCCTCAGCAGAAGAAGTTAGTGACATTCACTCTCATACCTATGCTGCTCAGTTGGAGCTGCCACCTGCCCCCTTAGTGCTGAGGTGGTATAGGTGGATGGGGAGGAAGCAGTGCCCTCATCGTGGACTCTGCACAAAAGAATTAACATCTTAATATTTAGTGCTCATTCTGGAGTTTCAAATCCTGGCCCTGTCACTTGGTGGCTGTGCAACTGTGGGTAGTTATCTAACCTCTCTGCCTCAGTTTCCTTAAGGATAAGGCTTCCTTAAGGTTGTTGTTAATAAGCTAATACACACAGTGATTAGAAGAATGCCAGGCATACACTAAGCTCTGAGGAATGTTGCCCATTATTGCAATTTCATTCCTACAATCAAGTTGCTGGTCATGTTCATATTATGTGTCCTGCTTGGAGCCCGCAGCTGTAATAGTGTTGTGTGAATGCCCTGCTGCATCCCGGGGTTAATCTGGTTGTAAATTGAACAGCCCATCTCTCAGGAGAATAGGAACCACTTGATAAATAGCTTTTTGCAGTGTACAGGGTACACTGTGGTGTTTTAAAGCATTCATGCACTGCTAGAAGTAAATGGTTCATTTCGTCAGTGAGTGAGTATTGACCAACTGCTGGCCTCTGGCACAGGGGTATCTGTTCTGCCTCAAGGATTTCATTATTAGAATATTTTTTTAATTCATTAAGTGTATTGGTGCATTTTAGGTATACAATATGATGACATTCATCCTTGGGATTTGTACCTTTACATGATATATCTTAGTTCTTAGATTGGATAAAGATTTTTTAAATAAAATGGAATACTACTCAGCCATAAAGAATGAGAAACTAGAAACATTTATAGCTAAATGGATGCACACTGAGAGGCCATACTCTTAAGTGAAATAAATAGGACACTCACATGTAAATACTGAATTATTTCTCTGGTGTGAGAAACAAAGTATAAATAAGGATCAAAATATGTAATAGATAACGTGAAATAGGAAGAAAAGTTCCAAAGGAGAAGGGGAGGGGCAGGGGTAGGAGGAAAGGAAAGAAAGGAAAGGAGTAAATGTGAGAAAAGGAAAAAACAGAAACAGTCTATTAGAATCTTAATTCTGCAATTTTATGCACATCTACCAGATCCCTCTTGTTTAAATCTAGAACAGCATGTCTCCTAAGGCACTTTGAGGGTTTGTAACCTGTTCTTTCTAAGCATGGCCTGCTCTGTTCCACATCATAATCTGCATGGCAGGTGTTCTGATCACAGGAGACAAAGGTACTGAGATTCTCACATCATGATGCAGGGCCCTGAACTCAAGTCTTCCAGCCCAGACTGCTGTGTCCTTTGAGCTCACCCTTGGCACCCTGGCCTTAGGAATCAAGATAATGTATGTGAAAAGAGGTCTCGGAGATTGTGAAACTGTTAAGACAGTACAATTGCTTATTCTGCCCTTGATAAATTCATATATGTGTGTTTGTGTGTGTGTGTGTGTGTGTGTATATATATATATATATATATACACACACACACACACACACATCTATCCATGAGGGTTGAGAGACAGATTAAGATACAATCAGAGTAACTATATAAAAATATGTGGACTAATACAAATTACAGCAATTCTTTGGGGGAGAGGGGAGGACTGAATACTGGTTCATTCCATGAGGAAAGTGGTGGAATTGGTTCATTGTCACATGTGACATAGTGAGTGATTGACTCAGTAGTGATTTACATTTACGTTTACTCCTAGCTGTTTAGTATTTCCCTCTCTATCCATGGGAGGCATACCCCAAGACCCCCAGTGGATGCTGGAACCCAGGATAGAACTGAGCCCTATACATACAAAGTGGCTGTTACCTTTGCTTTCTGACTGTGCAGACAGATACAGGCTAGTGGTTTCTGTTTTTGAGGGCATGTGAATTCTTCACTCTGTATACTGTATCTGGCTTCATCCCATGTTCTGTGGCATTGCCGCATAGAGTTCATCTGTCCTCCAGGTTCTGAGCTCTGCTGCTCCCGTGCATTTTCATAATTACAATTTACATGCATCATCCCCCTGAAGAGCTGTTTCATTGCAGTGGAAGACTTGTGTTGGATGGTATCCTTCCTCCTTGGCAACTTCCTCAGCTCTGTTGAAATATGGTGGCAGTGCCTGTACCTGCAGGCATGGCTTCCTCAGTGATGTTTATATTTTTGATTCCAGACTTGTGTCTAACTCTGTAATGGTCCCTCCCTGCAGGTGTGGCAGATGCCCTCATCTCAGGGGATCCTTTGCTGAAATCTTTGCAAAGGCTCAATGCTTTTTGGCACAACCCATTACCATTGTTGCCATAGGCTGGGACACATTTTCTGTTTGTGTTTTCCACCCACGAATTTAAGCCTTCTGCACCTTGACTGGGACCCTGATGTGTATGGGGACTCTTAAGTACTACTGCTTGAGATACAGCAGCAAGAGTAGCATGAGTTAATTTTTACTCTTTCATATGTTCATGGATAGAAGATTCTTCATTACCATAGATCTTAGCAATCGAACCATATGAGTCTTTTCTTTCCTTAAATTGACAGTTGTCATCTTTTTACTTAAAGGAAGCACTTTACAGTTTCTCTTTGGCACACCTGAATGACCAGCATCATTACTCTTGTGCTTTGGGGACTTTATTAAGTAAAAGAAGGGTTGCTTGAGCACAACAGTGGGTCTGATAACTGAGAGGGCAGATGAGTGACAATGGTGGGCATTGGATATACTGGACAGAGGGACAGTGGGACTTATATTGTGCTATTCAGAATGGCATGCAATTTATGAAGTGTTTATTTCTGGAACTTTCCATTTAATACCTTCCAACTAAGATTAACTGTGGATAACTGAAATTTCAGAAAGTGAAACCATGGTTAATGGGGGTACTGCTATATAATCTTTATTCATTTATTTTGCAGAGTGGATGGGAACAGAGGATTGCATCCTACATATATTCTTAAATATTTTTCAAACCTTTTTTGTTTGTTTGTTTGGAAACAAGGCCTCACAGCATATCTCAGGCCCAACTCAAACTTGCTGTGTAGCCCAGGCTGGTCTCAAATTTGAGATCCTCTTGCCTTAGCCTCCCAAGTGCTGGGATTACTGGCATGTACCACCTCACCTGGCTTCAAATACTAAATAGTGTGATTGGCATATATAGTAGCTGATCAGTAAATTTTGCTTTGTTGCCTGAAGGTTTCTGATGAGGTACCAAAACCAGGCTTCTTAAATGTCCATGGAAGATGTTTGTTGTTATCAGTTTCAAGAAAAGAGCTTATTGAGTGTGATTGCTATATATGCTTCTAATTGTTTTGCTGTGGATTATTTTTGCTTGAAATATTATCACAATATAGCTAAAAATAGTTTTTTTTTCTTATAGATCCAAACAGTTCCCATTCCAGAGCCCCTGTTTGTGGAATTTTTGTGGATTTTGCAACAGCCTCACGCCGTCAAAAGAGTCGGACTCAGGCCCTTAAGCAAAAGTAGGTGTTTTGGGAAATTTGCCAAAGATGTTACAAGATTTTTTAAAAAATTAAATTGAATTTATTGGTACATTCTAGGTAGATGGTACAGTTACATTCATTACTGGGATCTTGTACCTTTACATGCCAGGTCTTGGTTCTCATTTTTTCCCCTTGTCCCCACCCTCCCTTCACGCCCTCTTCCCCTTCCTACCTTCAAACACTTTAACTCCATTTTTACATTTTCTCATATTTTTTTCCTTTTCCCTTGTTCCCCTTTCCCTTTCCTTTTCACTGTCCCTACACCTTTGGTCCTTTTCTTCCTATTTCACGTTGTTAATTGTCCTATTAGGATCTTGAGTACTATTTGAGTTTTTCACACCAGAGAAACTATTCGGTATTTACACGTGTGACTTATTTATTTCACTTAGGAGCATATCCTCAAAATGTACCAATTTACCTATGAATGAATCTACTTTCTCATTCTTTATGGCTGAGTAGTATTCCATTTTATAGAAAAACCGCATCTTCTTTATCCAGTTTCCAACTGATGGGCAGATGGGCTGTTTCCAAGTTTTAGCTATTACAAACTGTGCCGCTATAAACATGGGTTTGCATACATCACTGTGGTATGATTCTTTCACTTCTTTTGGAAAGATACCCAACAGAGGGATGCCTGGGTCAAATGGAACCTCTAATCCTAGTTCTTTAAGGTATCTCCATATTGATTTCCATAGTGGTTGCACTAGTCTGCACTCCTACCAACAATGGAGAAGGGTTCCTTTCTCTCCACAACTGCGCCAATATTTGTTATTGTGTGATTTCTTGATAGCAGCCATTCTTTGTGGTATGAGGTGAAATCTCAGTGTTGTTTTCATCTGCATCTCTCAAATGACCAGTGATGTGGAACATTTTTTCATATATTTACTTGCTGCTTTTATTTCTTTGTCTGAGAAATGTCTGTTCATTTCAGATGGCCATTTTTGAATTGGGTCTTTATATTTGAGGGGACTGGTTGTTTTGAGTTCTTTATATATTCTAGATAATAGTCTTTTGTCTGAGGAGCAGCTGGTAAAAAGTTTTTCCCATATTGTAGGTTGTCTCTTAGTTCTGTTGATTGTTTCTTTTGCAGCAGAAGCTTTTTAATAAGATGAGATCCCAGTTGTTGATTCTTTCTGCTAGTTCCCATGCTACTGAGGATTTGTTCATAAAGTCTGTTCCTTTGCAAATGTCTTCTAGAGTTCTGCCTAACTTATCTTCCAGCAAGTTTAGTGTTTTTGTTTTTATATTTAGATCTTTAATCCACTTGGATTTTAATTTAGTGCATGGTGACAGATAAGGGTCTAGTTTTAATCTTTGGCAGGTTGAGATCCAGTTTTTCCAACACCATTTATTAAAGAGGCTATCTTGCCTCCAGTGGGGACGGTCAGCTCCTTTGTCAAAGATGAGGTAGCTGAGTGCAGATGGAGTTGTTTTTGTGTCTTCCAGTCTGTTCCATTGATCCTCAGGTCTGTTTCTTTGCCAGTACCATGCTGTTTTTATCACAGTGGCTTTGTAGTATAGTTTCAGATTGGGAATTGCTATTCCCACTGCCATGTGTCTGTTGCCTAGGATGGCTTTTGCTATTCTAGGTCTCTTATGGTTCCAAATGAATTTTTGGATTCGTCTTTCTAGTTCTGTGAAATATAGTGTTGGGATTTCAATTGGTATTGCATTGAATCTGTATAGCAGTTTTGGTAGCATGGCCATTTTCACTATGTTGATTCTTCCTACCCAGGAGCAGGAGACATCTTTCCATTTTCTTATATCCTCCTCGATCTCTTCTTTCAGAGTGTTATACTTTTCAGTGTAGAGGTCTTTTGCTTCCTTTGTTAGATTGATTCCTAGATACTTCATTTTTTTGGGTGCTATTGTGAAAGGAATTGTTTCCCTAATTTCTCATTCAGTGAGTCTGTTATTTGTGTACAAGAAGGCTATTGATTTTTGAGTGTTAACCTTATATCCACCTACTCTGCTAAAAGTGTGTATTAAGTTGAGAAGTCTTTTGGTGGAGTTTTTTGGGTCTTCATTGTAGAGTATCATATCATCAGCAAATAATGACAGTTTAACTTCTTCCTTTCCTATCTTTATTGCTTTAATTTCTTTCTCTTGTCTAATTGTTGTGGCTAATGTTTCCAGAACTATATCGAAGAGGAGTGGTGATAGGGGCATCCTTGTCTTGTTCCTGACTTTAATGTGAAGGTTTTCAGTTTTTGGCCATTTAATATGATGTTGGCTGATGGTTTTTCATAGATAGCCTTTATTAAGTTGAGATATAGACCATCTATTCCAATTTTTGCAGAGTTTTTAACATGAGTGGGTGTTGAATTTTGTCAAATGCTTTTTCGGCATCTATTGAGAGGATCATGTGGTTCTTGTCCTTGACTTTGTTAATATAGTGTATTATATTTATTGATTTATGTATGTTGAACCATCCTTGCATCCCTGGAATAAATCCGACTTGGTTAGATGTATGATCTTCTTGATGATCCTCTGTATTCTGTTTGCTAGCATCTTATTGAGGATTTTTTCATCTATATTCATTAAGGAGATTGGCCTGTAGTTCTCTTTTTTAGTTACGTCTTTCCCAGGTTTGGGAATCAAAGTGATATTTGCTTCCAGGAGTGAATTTGGAAGTATTGCTTCCCTTTCAATTTCATTGAAAAGTCTGAAGAGTAATGGCAATAGATCTTCTCTAAATGTCTTGTAAAATTCAGCAGTGAATCCATCAGGACCTGGGCTTTTCTTTGTTGGTAAGTTTTTAATTACATTTTCAATTTCACTGATTGTAATTGGGGTGTTTAAAATGTTTTTATCTTCTTCATTCAACTTTGGTAATTCATAAGTATCTAGAAATCTGTCCATTTCTTCTGTGTTTTCCATTTTATTAGAGTACAGGTTCTCATAGTATGTATTAATGATACTCTGGATTTCTGTGGGATCTGTTGTAACTTCGCCTTTTTCATTCCTGGTTGCATGAATCTGAGCCTTTTCTTTCCTTTTTTTGATAATGTTTGCTAAGGGTTTATGGATTTTTATTTATTCTTTCAAAAAACCAACTCTTTGATTCATTTATTTTTTGTATCATTTTCTTAGTTTCCATTGCATTGATTTCTGCTCTAATCTTTATAATTTCCTCTCTTGTTCGAGCTTTGGGTTTTTCTTGCTCTTGTTTTTCTAGGAGTCTAAGAGTCATCGTTAGGTTGTTTATTTGAGCTTGCTCTATTTTCCTAATGTGGGCATTCAATGCCATGAATTTTCCATGTAGAAATGCTTTCATTGTATCCCATAGATTCCTGTATGTTGTATTGGCATTTTCATTTATTTGTAAAAACTGTCTGATTTATTATTTGATTTCCTCTGTGATCCATTGATTGTTCAGGAGAGTGTTGTTCAATTTCCATGTGTTTGTGAAGTTCCTATGGTTTCCTATGCTATTGATCTCCAGCTTTATTGCACTGTGATCTGATAATATAGAGGGAGTAACTTCAATTCTTTTGCATTTATTCAAATCTGTTTTGTGAGATAGTATGTGATTTATCTTGGAGAATGACCCATGTGCAGCTGAAAAGAATGTATATTCTGATTTTGTGGGGTGGAACTCTATAGACATCTAATAAGTCCATGCGTTCAAACGCTTGGTTCAGTTCTAGTATTTCATTGTTGATTTTTTGTCTAGATGATCTGTCTATTTGTGATAGTGGTGTGTTTAGATCCCCCACTACAATTGTATTAGTGGTTATTTGGTTTTTCATGTTACTTAATATTTGTTTTATTTAGTTGGGGGCATTTGTATTTGGTGCATATATGTTTATGATTGTCATCTCTTCATCTTGAATTTTTCCTTTGCAAGGATGTAGTGGCCTTCTTTGTCTCTCTTAATCAGTTTTGGTTTGAAATTTGCTTTGTCTGCGAATAAGATTGCTACCCCTGCTTTTTTCTGGGGTCGTGTTGCATGGAGAATTGTTTTCCGTCCTTTCACTTTCAGTCTATGGGCTTCTTTTTACACTAGGTGTGTTTCTTGTATACAACATATCATTGGATTTTGCTTCTTAATCCATTCTGCCAGTCTGTTTCTCTTGATTGGTGAATTGAGGCCATTGACATTGATAGCTATAACTGATATGTACTGACTTATTATTATCATGTTATTGTCCTTTTGTTGACTCTTTTTATTTTTTGTCCTCTCCTTTTAGTTTCTTGCCTTGGCTATTTGATTTGCTCTGTTGGGTTTCCTGTTGTGATCTTCATTGTCTTTTTCTAGGGTATTGTTTAAAATTCTTAGTAGTGCTGGTTTAGTATTCCTGAAGTTTCTCAAGTGTTCTTTGTCATGGAAGTATCTTATTTCTCCATCCATTTTGAAAGAGAGTTTTGCAGGATACATCAGTCTTGTTTGTAGGTTGTTTTCTTTTAGGACTTGAAATACCTCACTCCAGGCTCTCCTTGACCTGAGGGTTTGTGTTGAAAAGTCTGCTGTGATTCTGATGGGCTTTCCTTTGCATATGATTTGTTTCTTTTCTCTTACTGCTTGTAGTATTTTGTTCTTCTGTTGGGTTTCTGGGATCTTGATTATTATATGTCTAGGTGTAGGTTTTTTTGATCAGTTGGTAGTTGGTGTTCTATATGCCTCACTTATCTGTATGTCTAATTCTTCCCCTCTGTTTGGGAAGTTTTCTGTCATTAATTCTTTGAACAGCTCTTTTAAGTCATTTGTATTTTCTCCTGGTACTTCATGGATTCCTATCAGTCTTATGTTATTCTTCTTTGCTTCATCTAGGAGTTGTTGGATCGATTTCTCATGTTCCCTTACTATTTTTAATAGACCTCTCTTTTCACGGTCACTGTATGTGATCCTATCTTTTATATCTGAAATTCTATCTTCGCAATCTTTTATTCTGTTTTGTACACTTTCAATAGAATTTTTAATCTCCTGGATATCTGTTTGATTCTGGGCCTTCATGGTTTCTATTATGTTCCTAAGT